TCCCTATGGCTGGAGAGTTAAAAAAAAAAAAAAAAAAGCATACTATATCCACAAATGAGTATGGGATGCTGAGGCAAAGGGGCAATCAGAAAACAGGAAAGAGCTATTGGAAATTAATAAGTTAATTAAAAAGATACTAGAAGAGTTAGAAGATAAAGCTAACATTAGAGAAATATACACAGACCCTCCCCAGGAGGTAGAGCATGGAAGTTAAAGGTGAACAACAAGAAAATGAAAGGATTGATTGATTGATTGATTGATTGATTGAACCAGGAAGCCCAAAGTGCAACCAGAAGGAGTTCCAGAGGGAATCAGAAAAACACTTGCCCCGAATTGAAGAACACACATCTTCAGATTAAAAGAGCCCACTGGATGTCCAAAACCGAATGAAAGAGACCCGACCAACGCACATCCTTGTGAAGTTTCAGAAATTCAAGGTTAGCACAGAGATCCTAACAAGTTTCCCGAATAAAGAAAACAAAAAAGTTACCCAAAGGCCAAAATGATCCTCCAGCTAGAATTCTATACCCAGCCAGACTAGCAACATGTGTGAGAGGACAATCAGCCGTGTTGAAACATGGGCGCTTTCTTGGGAAGCTTCTAAAGGACATGCCCCACCAAATGGAGGGAGTTAGACCATCAAGGAGGAAGGGATGGGATTCAAGGAACAGGGAAACGCCGAAGGGACTCTTCAATATGATGGTGAAGAGAGTATCCCAGGTGTCAGTTGGTCCAGATTGGAGGAGTTCAGGAGTCTCCAAAAAATGATCACTGAAATCAGAGGGTTTAAGTTACACTATGAGGATTTTTTTAAACCAAGCTTTAAGAGGGTGTGGGAACAGTTAGCACAAGAAAACTAAAATATTCAAAGAAAACCAAGTAAATGAAGAAACTAGGCAATTATTAACTCCTGACTGAGCAGGAGATAATATTTACATGGCACCGCACAGTAATGAAAACAATGAAGATGCATTTAACTGAAGATTATGTTATATAGATATAAGGAGGGGAGGGAGGGGAGTGTATTTTTAACAGCCTGTAGTCATCATCTCCCATCAAAAGAAGTCAGCAGGTAATGGCAGCGACTGGGGAATTCAGACCCACTGGATAAACAGTGCATTTCGATAGAGGTAGGTACATAGGAAATCCACGGCCACCAAGTTCATTCCAGCTCATTATTGGGTATGGAATATAGGGTTTGACTCTTGACCAGTCAAAGTTTCATCTTTACGGGAGCAGAGAGCTTCACTGTTCTCCCATGGAGAAGCTGCGGGGGGTGGGGTGGGGGCGGGTGTTGAGCCTCCAACTTTGTGCTTAGCAGCCTAGTGCCTAACCCACAGCACTACCAGGGCTCCCCAGATGCATACAAGGAAAGCAGAATTACCTCTGGGACAAGGGATGGGCCAGAGCCACCTGGAGCTCCATCCCCCATCAACCATGACAAGCCTTCCTGGAACTATTGGCTTTAAGAGTTTACTTGCAAACAGTACTTTGATAAAAAACAAAAGCAAAGTTAAGTGAATTACATTACTGAAAAGGGGAATCCCAGAGTGCGAAGTGCTGGAGCACAGGGCCCTGGCCCAGAGGGTGGTGAAGGCTGAACCAGGGAGAGGACCTGTATAAAGGGCCTGGGTCTACGTGAGGTTCCAACGGGGGCCACGAGACTTTAGGACAAGGTTGTGTGGTGCTGGAGGAGAAATGGGCAGAAGCCAGGTGAGGTGGGGTCCTTAGGCCGGGGGAGGGCCTGGGGGCTTCATTTTATGGGCCACTGGAGGCCATTGGCATGATGTACGTGTCTTTAACAGACTCACTTCTGCTGCTGAATCAGGGGTGAGGGCAGAAGTGGAGCCCCATCAAGAGCAGGAGGGATTGTGGCTGGGGCCTGAAGGGAGGCCGTGGGAAGGAAGCACAGAGAGCAGGTGAGAGAAACGGAAAGATCTCAAAGCAGAAGCAACACAAGTAGATTCTGGAAGGACCCAGCCGATGGTCATTTGCACAAGCGCCCTCAGGAGGCACTTTCTACCCCAGCAGGGCCATGAGCAGCCCTGAGAGGGCCTTGGGAGGAGCAGGCTGGACTGCAAAATCCCTGTGCCACCTTGGAGGCCCAGCTTCCAGGCGCCCTGTGTCCTGAGCTGCCTCTGGTCAACCTTGACGTCATGCCCTTGGACAACAGACCGGAGACAGACATAGGAAGGGGCCTGCTGGGGCACCTGGCCAGTGGAGGGAGAGCAGCAGGCCCACCAGTGGGTTCCAGGCACGGGTCCTACTGTGTGCCACAGCAGCCGCCATGGCACCCACTGGCTCTCAGAGGTCCTACTACCTGCCAGCTCGGGGTCCTGCGGACCAAGTGGGCCCACCCTGGTCCTGGGAATGGTCCACTCTGGAAAGAGGTCAGGAGAGCACATAGTAGGTGCTCAACAAAGACTCATTTCCTTCCTGTCCTTACTCATGGACCCGAGTTGTCGTTTGCTGCCGTGGAGTCGGCGGCAGCACGTGGATGCCCTGTGTCTACAGGGTTTGCTCCCCCGTCGTCTCAACAGAGGCGGTGCTCCAGGCCTTAGAGCTCACAGCAACGGCAGACTGCGGGGGGGCTGAACAGACCCCAGGTTCTTGTGGGTGGCGATGCTGTGAAGCGTTGAGATGGTTTGGGACTGAGCGTGACCCCTGTGTGCAGGCTGGGCTTTCTTGTCTGTGACTTTCCCAGACAGACCGCCTGGCTGTTCTCCCACGGAGCCACGGGGTGAGCAGCCCACCTCTGCACCAGCAGGCACCCTTCAGGGATCCTTAACAAACCCAGAGAACAGTCGCTTGCAGTGGAATTCCGACTTCGGGTGAGCCTCTGGGCCCAAGCAGAACCACTCACGGAGGGGCCCAGGCTGTCACCTTTAGAAAAGCAGCCTGCTGCATCCCTCTCCCGGGGTGGGATTGAACCGCTGACCTTCTTGGTTAGCAGCCAGGTGCTTTAACCACTGCACCACCAGGTTCCTTACTGGATCCTTCTCACTGCCACCCAGTTGATTCTGACTCATATATAGCTACCCTCTGGGACAGAGTAGAGCTGCCTCTGTGGGTTCCCACGATTGTAGCTCTTTATTGGTTGTAGAAAGTCTAATTTTTCTCCCAAGATGCAGCTGGTGGGTTTGAACTCACAGCTTTGCTGTTAGAAGCCCACTGCATAAACCACTGCGTCACCAGGGCTCCTTCATCGATCCGTAGATGTTTATGATACTCCTTGTTGCAGGAGCAGCTTGCGGAGGATCTAGTCCAAGCTCCTCACGAGCTAGTGGAGAAACTGAGGCCCAGAGAAGGAACAACAGACTCACAATCACATGCCAAGTCAGGACAAGCTGGGGCACAGCATCCAAGGTGGCCGGGCAGAGACTCTTAGACAAGGGCCAGCAAGCTTGATGAGCTAGAGATGGTTTCCACAGGTTAACAGTCACCATGTGTATTAGTCTGGGTTGACTAGAGAAACAAATTCATAGACACTCATATGTGTATAAGAAAGAACTTTATATACAAGACCAATATTGAGAAAGCATCCCAACCCAGTCCAGATCAAGTCCATAAGTCCAATATTAGCCTGTATGTCAGATACCAGTCTATAAGTTCCTCTTCAGACTCATGCAACACATGCAATGATGCTGAGTACAGAAAGATCACAGGCTAGTGGGTGGAAAGTCTTGTGGATCCAGTGGCAGTGGAAGCATCTTAGCACTGGCAGGTGTGTCCACATGGCTCCTCCAGCTCCAGGGCTCTAGTGTAGCTCCATGTGACTTATCAACAGAAATGTCTCACAGAGCGTGAGTGTGTGTCCCGCCTCCAGAGAGCTATTTATCTCCTTATTGCCTCCAAATGAGGTCATCAAGCTGCTACCTGACGGACAGGCTAGACTCCACCCCTCCACAAGTTGACATCAGATTATGTAACTACCACACCATGGATGTGCTGGTGGGAAGTCCGAACTTGGAACCCTAATGAAAGCAACTGGAATCCCCCTAAAAGGACTCCCTTCTTCCTATTAGCAGCTCTGTGTTACAAAGATGGCCCTCAGCGATCAGGATTACGGTTTGAATCTTGTCTGTAAGAATAATTGTGGAAATCGTACTTCTCTCTTCCATCGAAACCTCGAATTTGCCTCGAGGGCTGCAAAGCCTCTGCATGCCCTCTTTCCTCTGTCCCTGCCCCCACCCCTCTGCCCAGAGCCCCCCACAGCCAGCTCACACCAGGCGGGAGCCCTTGGTCCTCAGTCTGCACCCAACCTCCTTGTGGCCACAGAGGCTGGACCGCCGGGCCCTCAGGACTGCAGACGACCAGCCCAGTACTCACCCCTGCTCTATCCATCTCAGCCCTCCTCCTGAAACCCCTCCCACCCCCACTCCCAGCCTTGCCTGGGGACACAGCTGTCGCCCCAGAGGACATGTGCCACAGGGCCTGGGGGACCTGGCCGCTGACTCTCAGTCCCACCGCCTCTGAGCCCCACTCGGAGGCTCTCCAACTCCGGGCTGGAGCCAAGGCCAGCGGTGGTGGCCAGAATCTCCCCGGTAACAGGGTTGGCCCCCCTCCCCCTCCTCCTCCGGCCTCCTCCCCTAACCTGCTTCTCTCCTCCTTCACCCCTGGCCCTCAGTTCCTCCTCCCAGCCCCTCCCTCACCCCTCTCCACTCCCTCCTGCACTGGAGCCCCATGTCACCATCTGTGGCACAATCCTTCTCTGTCGCTCGCTCTGCCACCCCCTCGTTCTGTTCTCCTTCCTCCTGCCTCTCCCCAGGCTGCTTCCCTGGGCTCTTTCTCCCTTCTTGCTCCCCCTTTCCTCTCCCTGTCACGCAGGCCTCATCACTCCTCCTCATTCTGCCTTTCCACCCACTCACTGTCTTCTCTCTCTCTTTCTCTCTCTCTCTCTCCTCTCCACCTCCAGCCGACCCCCCCTTCTCCTCTTTTTCCATTGGCTCCCACACTCCCCTGTCCCCTTCTCTCCTTCACCTTGGGAAGCTCTCCCCCTCCACCCCCCTCCCCTGCCTGCAGACCCCACCTGTGCCCCAGCCCCTCAGGACTCGTCCAGGAGATGGGGGGTGACGCGCCCAGCACCAGTGGGAAGTCAGGACGGCAGGCCAGATGGGAGAGGCTCTGTGGGCAGACGTGGCCGCTGCGGGCCGAGGACCGGGCACAAGCAGTCTAGAAGTGCTTGTCGAGTGGGGATCCTGGCCCAGGGGTGCTGTGGGAGCACCTGGGGCCTGGGCTAGGAGATGGGGCAGGGAGCAGGATGACCCCCAGCCTGGCAGCAAAGAGGGGAGCCCTCAGCCCATGGGAAGGTAAGGAGACTAGGGCCTGGCTGGGCCCCAGAGAATGGGCAGCTGGGCTGGGGGTTGGGAGAAAGTGGGGGCATGGAGAAAGAAGAGGGGCCTTCCTGTGACCTCTCAGTGGGTGCCTGGGGTGAAAGCATTCATCTCAGAATCTCATGCTAACACCCTAGACTCTAGGACTCTCAGAAAAGCCAACTGTCAACATCATGCTGCTCAGCCTCCCGGACCCACGTGCCAGCATCCCCCAGCGCCCCCTCCATACCGGGCACGGCTCCGAGCACTCCACTTCCTCCGACAGCAACCTGTGAGGTGGGTACGGCATGTCTTCCTTGTGATGTCAGGAAACAGAGGCTCAGAGAGGGGAAGCCACCTGCCCAAGGTCACACAGCAAGTGGGCAGCCACTCTGAGACAGAGCCCAAGCCCCTCCCCCCGCCCCGGGGTTGGGAGTTAGGTTCTGGGAAGTGAGCCTAGTGCACTGGCCTGCATAATGGGACCTCTTTGCAGGGCATGACTGGGGGTTCAAGGACCCAGGGCCACCAGCCTGAGGTCCTTAGAAACACTAGCCTGGGGAGGAGGAAGGACCGATGGCTCAGGAGAAGGCCAATGGGGGTATAAATTCTGGTTTGCCACCACTAGCTGGGCCTCCTTTCACCGGTCACTTAGCCACTCTGAGCCCCAACTTCCTCCTCCCTAAAGCTGCTCCCCTCAGTGTGTGTGTGTGGCCTTCGGGGTGCGTTTCAGGCCTCTGGCCTCTGCCCATCTGCGGAACCACTCGATGGTTTTCCGTCGGTGGTGATGTTCTGGGCGCTATGCTGGTGCTGAGGGCTAACTAAAGAAGCCATCCAGGGGTCCACTCCCTACAAGCCAGCAAGCTAGGGGGGGAGAGGTGCCCTCGGTTGCTGTGTGACTTGGGGCTGCTGTTTTCCCTCTCTGGGCCTTGTCTCCTCCCCGAGCTGTCCCTGGAGGCGGCGTCCACCCCCAGCTTTCAGGCAAGCTTGTGCCAAAGATAAACCAGACGCGGGGGAACATCCCTCCTCCCCGAGGCTGAACTAGATCATGCACAGGATTCCAGCGCCTTAAAGAAGAGGCGGCACCGAATTTGCCGGTCTGGCTTCTGCGCTATGTGGAAAGCTGTAATTTCTCGGCTTCTGGCGCCCAGTGTGCTCAACTTTGACAGGGAAGATGGGCCCGGGGCGAAGGTGGAGGCAGAGGCCCGCACAGGGGCAGGGGCTTCCCAGGCTGCTGGGTCCTTGCTAGACAGGACACCGGTAGGTGTGGGCGCTCATGCGCATGCACATGCGGGAGCTGGAGTACTCCCCCCTCCCCCCCGGGGCCACCCTGGGGGGCCTCTGTCCCTGCAGCTTGGGAATTAGGTCTGCTGGCTGACTGCCCCTCCCTTGGGAGTCTGAGCTCACCTCCAGCCTCCAGCACCGGGCTTCCATGGGCCAGCCCTAGGCGCTGCTATAAAAAGGCCCTGAGCGAGGTGGGTGGGTGAAGTAGGGCCCTCCCGGCTGCAAAGACCAGGGTTTAGGGGCCCTAAGAAATCTGATGCAGACATCTGGGAACTCAAACTCTCCCTGCCTCACAGAGTCAAACAAACAAACAATCTATGGCAAGGGGAATTACAGATTGGGCTGCTAACCATAAGGTCAGAGGTTTGAAACTACCAGCCGCTCTGTGGCAGAAAGACAGGGCTTTTCTACTCCTGTAAAGAGTTACAGTCTCTGAAACCCACAGGGACAGCTCCCCTCTGTCCTGTAGGGTCACTGTGAGTCAGAATCAACTCCATGACACTGAGAGAGAAAGAGATAGCCAGGACTCTAAGATGCCACCGCCCAGCTCTGAAAACCCAAGCTTCTATTCTAGGTCTCGAGGGGAAACGGTGAACACCCCGCTATCACCGAAAGGTTGGTGATTCAAGTCCCCCCACAGGTGCCTTGTTGTAAGTGCCTGGCGATCTGCTTCCTGAAACCCAGCTTCTGAAACACCAGGGAACACAGTTCTACCTAGACACACGTGGGCGCTACGAGACAGCGTCCACTCAGCGGTCACTGGTTTCTAAGTCTAGGAGTTTGCGTCCACTATTTGGATAGTCCCAGAGCCCCTGAGAGTAGGACTCCATTGAGCTGTCTTGGCCAACTGTGACATGTGGGTCAGCAGCTTCCCCTGCCCAGTGTAGTCTGCTGGCTAGGGAAGTGGGGGTGGCTGTATGTGTGCAGGTGATGGGAGGACCGGGGATGGCCCTCAGGGCCCTCCCAGCTCTGTCCCTTCCTACCTTTGTGCCCAGAGCACAAGGTCCCACCTGCCGAAGGGCCTCTCTCACAGCACGCGCTCCCAGCTGTGCTTGGTCCCCAGCATTGTTGGGGTGCAGTGAAGCGGGACCCTCTGACCAAATTTTAAAAGCAGGTGCTGGTGAGTCGGGCCGGGACTGTGCGCCCCCAGGTTCTCACTGGCTGCTGTTTCAGGAGGTTTCCAGGCCTTCCTGCCAAGGCACCTCTAGGTGGATCTGAACCATCAACCCTGCAGGTAGCAGCCGGGGCTTAACTATTCATACCACACAGGGTCTCTGTTCCCTAGATGCCTAGAACCCCCCACCCTATCCCCATTCCCTAGGGTTGCTATAACACACATACCACAAGGGGGTGGCTTTGACAAACAGAAGGTTCTTCTCTCACAGGTCAGGAGGCTAGACGTCTGAATTCAGGGCACTGGCTCTAGGTAAAGGCTTTCTCTCTGTGGCGGCTCTAAGGGAAGGTCTTTTTCTCCTTTCAACATCTCAAATGGCTGGGCCTTCCCTGGAGATCCCCATGTGTCCTGACATCCAGCCTCACCCGCTGCCTCCTCTCCCAGCCCCAGAGCAGGACAGGGTGCTGAGTTCTGGCAGCTGGAAGGAGTCATTGGGCCTTAGCAGCTCTTTACCACACCCTCCCACCCATCTACACCCACACCCACATGCCCATGGGGCCAGGCATGCCAAGCCTGGAGCAGTTCTGTGCTCCGGGCCCAGCGGTGGGTGGGTGGGTGGGTGGGGGGCTTCCAGGCTTGGTGTGGGGTCAGTGGAACCTAATGGGGGCGAGTTTCTTGCTCAGGGTTTTCTGTGCAGTAGGGTGACCCAGTGCTGAGTGACCCATGGGGAGTGGGGTTAATGAGAAGAAGGGGTGAGGGAGAAGGGCAAGGTCCTTCAGAGGCTCCAGCATTCAGTCTTGGCCCCTGATCTGCTCTCCTGAGATCAGGAAGCCCTGTGGAGGGGGGTGGGCAAACCCTGGTGCCCATTCTCAGTAAGGCCTGGAATTCCACTATTAGTAATTCATTCCTTTGGCTTGGTCCCCTCTAGGTTCCTTTTGGCATGGAGCATGTGCTGAAAACTCTTAAGTAGGTAAGAATGACTAGTGGGAGGGGGGTATTTAAAGATGAATAAGAGAGCGTCTCCCACTAAAGGAGCCAGGAAGAGTCCCAGTTCTTTATCATACATGGGGTAGGGGCGGTGATAGGATGATAGGAAAGCAAGTAATTTAGGGTGCTAGGTCCCTCTGTGTCCCTAAGGTAAATGCCTATTCATGCCTCAAGAGCCCGGAAGCCCTCCCTCCCAGCCAGTGGGGAGGTAGCTCTGCTTGTGCGCATCCTCATAGCAGCCCCTGTCACATCTATTGCTAGCCTCTCCATCACAGGCTGCCTGATCCCAAATGTCTAGCCAACTTATCACTGGCTGATCCTTTGTTCCCCATGGAAGGGGGAAAGTGGCTTGGGTTGGGGTGAGGGGCTCCCAAGGGCTCTGGCAAACTGGGGAGAGGACCACCCTGTGTCTGTGGTTCTTAGCTCTGTTGAGAATCTGAGCGCTCTGATGAAAGTGTTACCCCCTGCCCAGAGAAGACAGACACACCTTACCCACCACCAGCAGTGTCGGGCTCCCGCGACCTCTGAGGTTCATCTAGAGCCTGAATTTTAAGGTTAAGAACCTGCCGTGTGAAGCAAGATGGGGGAACAGCTCATGGTGACCCCATAGAACAGGGTCCAAATACCCCTGTGGGTTTTCCAGGCTGGAAATCTTTATGGAAGCAGACCGTCTCAGCTTTCTCCCACGGAGTGGCTGGTGGGTTCAAACTGCTGGCCTTGTAGTTAACAGCCCAACACGTAACCCCCATGCGAAGCAGTGGTCTCCAAATGTCAGAGACCTTGGTGGGCGGTGCAGTCCATGTCATGCGGACCCCACCCCCACCCCCACCCCCGCAGGGACACTGAGTACAGCAAGGTGGAGCACGGTCTCAGAAAACACTACGCTTTCACTGAGGGGTGTTGCGAAATGCTTTGCTGACCATGTGCCCATCGGTGCCCATGGAAAGCTGCTGCAATGGAGGGCAGGGTCAAGTTGTCACTGCTGGAGGACAGGACGACCCACTCCCTTATTTAATCTGTGTGGAGCACTTAGCCTGTGGACAGACATGGGGACTTTGAAGGCAGGCCCGTCCCCAGCTCCCTCCCCTCCCCACCCTGCCTGCGGGGTAGAGGGTGGGTCACCACACTCTTCTCTGTAAAGTGGGTTGAGCAGAGTGGATGAGACGATATGCAGCCTGGGGTGCCATGTTCAGGGTCCTGGGGACGGGGCATCAGGGAGTACCCAGACTCTACCATGACCTGTGTCTCCCTTGCCTTCTTCCAGGCCAGTAGCTGACTGCTGCCCGCCTTCCCCTGGGCCATGGACACCCCTGGCTATGCTCTGTTGGTGCCCACGACTTCAGAGCCCGGGAATACCTCCTTGGCCTGGCCCCTGGATGCTGCCCTGGGGAACAGGTCAGGGGGCCCGAGCCCGGCCGGGCTGGCCATCAGAGGCATTCTGATCCCCCTGGTCTACTTGGTGGTGTGTGTGGTGGGCCTGCTGGGTAACTCGCTGGTCATCTGCGTGGTCCTACGGCACACGGCCAGCCCGTCCGTCACCAACATCTACATCCTCAACTTGGCGTTGGCGGATGAGCTCTTCATGCTCGGACTGCCCTTTCTGGCCGCCCAGAACGCACTCTCCTACTGGCCCTTCGGCTCCCTCATGTGCCGCCTGGTCATGGCCGTGGACGGCATCAACCAGTTCACCAGCATCTTCTGCCTCACCGTCATGAGCGTGGACCGCTACCTGGCCGTGGTGCACCCCACGCGCTCCGCCCGCTGGCGCACGGCGCCCGTGGCCCGCACGGTGAGCGCAGCCGTCTGGGCCACCTCGGCCGTGGTGGTGCTGCCCGTGGTGGTCTTCTCGGGCGTGCCCCGCGGCATGAGCACCTGCCACATGCAGTGGCCCGAGCCGGCGGCCGCCTGGCGGGCCGGCTTTATCATCTACACCACCGCCCTGGGCTTCTTCGGGCCACTCTTGGTCATCTGCCTCTGCTACCTGCTCATCGTCGTCAAGGTGCGCTCGGCCGGCCGCCGCGTGCGCGCGCCCTCCAGCCAGCGGCGGCGGCGCTCGGAGCGCAGGGTCACGCGCATGGTGGTGGCCGTGGTGGCCCTCTTCGTCCTGTGCTGGATGCCCTTCTACGTACTCAACATCGTCAACGTGGTGTGCCCGCTGCCCGAGGAGCCTGCCTTCTTCGGCCTCTACTTCCTGGTGGTGGCTCTGCCCTACGCCAACAGCTGCGCCAACCCCATCCTCTACGGCTTCCTCTCCTACCGCTTCAAGCAGGGCTTCCGCCGCGTCCTGCTGCGGCCTTCACGCCGCGTGCGCAGCCAGGAGCCCGCCGCCGGGCCGCCCGAGAAGACCGAAGAGGAGGAGGACGACCAGGACGACGAGGAGGACGGCGAGGGGGGTCGCGAGGAGCAGCGGCGGGAGGGCAAGGAGCTGAACGGCCGGGTCAGCCAGATCACGCAGGCGGGCCCCAGTGGCCAGGAGCGGCCACCCAGCAGCAGCGCGGCCCGCAAAGAGCAGCAGTTCCTGCCCCAAGAGCCCTCTGTCCCGGACAAGCCCAGCGCGCTGCACATTAGCTATCTGTAGGGCCCGGGGCTGGCCGCGTGACCTTGGATAGCCGCCTGCCGTGGCTGCACCTGGCTTTCTCCTTGGTGACTAAGGGCTGGGGTGATCAGCCCTGTGGGTTCTGGCTGACCTCTCTGAGCAGGGCCCGGCTGGTGGCGGTGGTGCGCCCTGACCCTCCCCAACTCTTTGAGACTTGGGGTGCTGGGGAAGCAACTCTCGGAGCGACCATTGTGCAAGGCCTGGGTTTCCTGGGACATGAGAAATGCCGGGGTTGGACTGGGGCTGCAGATGGAAGGACGTCTTGGCTGGGGGGAAGAAACGGAGGCGCATGAGAGCCCACCCAGATGAGCTCAGCTCCTAGGGGCTGGCAGTTTCGGTGCCAGCTTGTGCCTCACCTGCCGGCCAGGCACATGTCCTCCGGGACCTCTGATCCCATGATGTGTGTGGGGCCTGGGCTCCTGGCCACGGTGGCCAGAAGGCTGTTTTCCAGGAGGTCGCTACTTCCTGTGAGTAGGCCCTTCCGAGGCCCTGCCCTTAATCTTGTACGTGTCCTTTTGTATTCCTTGTCTTATAGGAGGTCCCCAAATCATGTGCTTAGGTCCTGCAAAGCCTAGCTGCCCACCCCCCTGCTGGGAGGAGCTGCCCTCTCTCCAAAGCAGCTCACTCTGGGCCCTGACATTACGGCCTGGGTGTCCCCAGGTCTCTGAGGAGATATTACTCCCCCCCACCCCCCCAGGGCAGTCAACTGCTCCTCCTCCCAGAAGCCAATGCAGGTCCTAACCCCATGCAGGCTGGAAGGTCAAACAGCTCTGTGAGGGAGAGGGAGAGGGAGAGGAAAAGGGTGAACGAGACCAGGGAGCAGAAGATGAGAGGAAGAGGAGGAGGAAGGAAGACTAGAAAAACAGGTTTGGCCCATGACCTTGGTGCTGACCTTGGCCCCTGGGCTGCACCCAGTTGCTGTGTCTGTCAAGTGGGGATGATGATGCCTGGCCCGGCCAGGCCCAGAACAGGTCTCTGAAGCATACAGGCAGGCCTTGTCAGGGCTGGCACTGGGCTACTACTAACTGCAGGATCAGTAGTTCTAACCCACCAGCTGCTCCGTGGGAGAAAGAGGAAGCTCTCTGTTTAAGATTTAGAGTCTCAGAAGCCCGAGGGCTCAGTTCTACTCTGTCCCATAGGACTTGGTGGCAATGGGTCTTGGTGGCTCAGAAAGAGGCCCTGGGGTGCTGAGAAGTGGTGCCCAAGTTTGGGAGGGGTCCTTGAGTCTCCTGTGGGTGGGGGTGGGGTATGAGTCTTCCATCCTCTAGGGCCCCAGGGGCTCCAGGAGGCCAGGGAAGATGGGCGAGGCTGCTGCCTGGACCAAACTGCCTCCCTGCCCAGCGAAGACCCCTTAGTGCCAAGAAGAGGCTGGGGCCTCTGGTTCAACCATCCCCCTGCCCCCACAGAGGGCAGCGGGTCCTCAGGGAAAGCAGGGGCACCACAGCTGAGACCTGGACCTCCAACCCGCCTCAGGATCCTTGGACAGCATGACCTCTCCGGGTGTCCACTGCCCCACTTTAGGCCAGAGGTGGTAGTCCCCAGCTGGCCCACCCACCAGGGTCTGGGGAAGAAAATGGGCCGAATCCGGCTGGGTCCACTGCCAAGCTCACTGCAATGAGGCAGGGGTGGGCAGGCACATGGTGAAGTGGTGGTACCCCAGATTTGACCTATACCCCACTCTTTTGTTCTCTGCTTCTGGGTCTGTGGATGGGGTGCCGAGGGGCAGGTGGTGGGTGGAGTCCAGACCCACAGTGGATAAGGAGTTTCCAGTAACCAGATCTTTCTTAGACAGTGAAGGCCCACCTGGCGTGGGGGCTTGGTCTGAGCCTCTGAGGAGGAGTTGGGGGCCGAGGGGGACACATAGGACATTCTGACATTCCCTGGCCCCCCTCCCCCCCTCCCCAGCCTTCCCCACATTTGGGGCAAGGTGACTGGGGCAGGTGGTTGGGGACATCCCTAGCTGCTTCTGCCCCAGCTCCTGTCAATAAAGATGATGGCCCATGACAGTGCGGTGTGGCTGGGCCCTTTGTCTGCAGGCAGGTGTGGCACATGTGTGCATCTGACATGCACCTTTCTCAGGGGGCTCCCATCTCTCAGCTCTGGGCACACTGGCCTCTCTGAGGGTGGCTGAATCTGGGTCCTCCATGGCACATGAAGACTCCTGACAGATGGTGACCCTATGGGACTGGAAAATTTGCTGGCCAGATAGCAAATTTCAGGGAAGGAAGCTGGTGGAGCCTGACTGGGTCATGTGATTGCCCCTTGGGCCAATCACCAAAGGGTTAGGGTGCTGTGATTAGCCATGGGTGGCCTATCCTTGCAGGCAAGACAAGGGAAGACAGGCCAGGCAGCACCACATGGTCACTAGATGTGGCTGCCTTTGCTGTGTGTGTGTGAAGGTTTTCACAAGCAGGGTGCACGGCGTTTAGTAGGTGCTTAGGACAGCAGAGCAGGACCCGGGAGTGAATGTACATTTGGGGTGTTGACACTAGACAGCTTGCCATGATGGTGGACACCAATGGCGTGGGGGCAGAGAGACTGAGGGGGGCGCTGGCTGCTGCCCAGAGCGGCCTCGAGGTTCCTCTGAACCTCCCCGGCAACCAGGCTTCCTCCCTACCCATGTGCGCGCTCATGTGTGAGGTCCCACCAGCCTTGTCTCTCCCGGGGCAGGGACGACCCTCACCCATTGTGTCCCCAGGAGTGGCCGGTGTCCTGGCCCTGCGTGTGAGCATTTTGAACAAATGGAAGGAGGGAGGGGTTGTGACATTTCACAACTCCAGGGGCCCCTGTTCCCACAGTCACTCAGGTCCCCTTGTTTATGCCAGCATCTGGACAAAGCTGTCCAAGTGGACCGTACTGGGAGTTGCTGAGTTGGGTCTGACTCAGGACGACTCCACGTACAATGGAAAGAACCCCAGTCTGGTCCCGCACCAGCCTCACGATGGCTGAGTTTGAGCAGTCACCGTGCCAGACCACACCGTCGAAGGTCATTTTCTTTTTTGCTGCCTCTCTACTTTACAGAGCATGATGTCCTTCTGCAGGGACTGGTCTCTCCTGACAACACGCCCAAAGTACGTGTGACAGAGGCTCACCCTCCTCACCTCTGAGCAGCCTTTGTCTGTACCTCTTTCAGGGCAGACTTTCCAAACCAAGCCAAGCCAAACCAAACCAAGCCAAACCAAACCAAACCAA